GGCCTCGTTAAACTTGAAAATATGACTGGGTCCCGTCGAGTGAGCTGCAACTTGGGAGTAAGCGTCTTTCATCCTCACCGCCACTGCGTGCTCGGCCATTCGCGTTTGGAGTAATCTCCCAGTTTCTCCGAAGTAGTTGCTTTGTCCACAACTGCACCAGATCACATCTTCGCTTCTGTGGGAAAGTGTGTTCACCTGCGCGATCCCCGTGTGGTTGCTTGCTTTGGCCGAACCAACTACCAGCAATAAATATGCGTTGGGGAAGTCAATGTACTTCTTAATAGACCGGGGCCCGTAGATCATGATTCAAGCAATTTGCGGCTCACACGCTTGTCACCTCTCGCGAAAATTCCGGCCCCGCAAATAAAGATCTTGCCCCCCCCCCTAACTAACACATTTACTTCTCAAGTAATTTCTGACACTTGCACCTCTGCTTGAATCAGGAATCAACTTTATTGCTTTAAGGAACACCAATGCTAGCCTTCAACTCCAATTCTGATTTCCACGCTATTTCCCTATGTTTGGTTTAGAACTCCGGAAATTTTACTTGATAAAATCCCTCTGAAGCTTTATAACCTTTCCACGAAATACGGCTCCTTCGAATTACAACGGGGATATAAATGCTCTGTAGGATTAAAAAAGTGCCAAAAACCTTAGATCCTATTCCGTCTTGCTGGCCCGTCTTTTATAGGCCTGCTCATTCGCCTTCTATTTCTACCTATATTATTCTGACTATCAGCATATCAGCGTAAGTGACTTCGCCCACAACGTCAGTTAGCGCACTAACGTAGAGGTGATCAAACCTGATTCCGATTACACCTGCTTAGGGTATACTCTGTCTTCCCTGCTGAAGGATTTTCACCCCTAGGCCAATTTCCGTTTGCTTAACAGACCTAGTTCCTTTGGACTGAAAGTCACTTCGGTCGTATCAAACTGGTTCAGTTCTGCATGTATCTTTTACGCATGATGCTTAAGATGAGGTAAAAGAGCTTCATCGTCTACGGATGACCAAGCTGCATATTTGTGCTGTGCATGACATGGTGGTCATTATCGTTATAATTATCATTTCATTATGTTAGCACTGCGCCCATCCCACCTCAGACGACCGA